GCGTACCATTTACAACCAGCCCACGTCCGGGGACAAGCGGACCATCTACAGCCCACGTCGGGGACAAGCGGACCATCTACAACCCACGTTTGGGGACAAGCAGACCATCTACAGCCCATGTCCGGGGACAAGCGGACCGTTTGCAGCCCACGTCCGGGGACAAGCGGACCATTAACAACCAGCCCACGTCCGGAGACAAGCGGACCATCTACAGCCCACGTCCGGGGACAAGCGGACCATCTACAGCCAACGTCCGAGGACAAGCGGACCATCTACAGCCCACGTCCGGGGACAAGCGGACCATCTACAGCCCACGACAGCCCACGTCCGGGGACAAGTGGACCATCTACAACCCACATCCGGGGACAAGCGGACCATCTACAGCCCACGTCCGGGGACATGCGGACCATATACAACCCATGTTCGGGGACAATCAAACCACCATCATTTCATGACGCAAGGTTCTCGATACACAGGGACTTGCAATCTCATCATCTGTCGACTTTCCTCAAGCATTGAAAGTATTATCCGGTGAATTTCTTCAAGCATAGAAAACCGCTAAATTCCTTTGTCGGCTTTCCTCAAGCATGGAAAGCATTATCGGTGGATTTCTTAAAGCATAGAAAAACACCAAAATCATATGTCAACTTTCCTCAAGCATGGAAAGTGTAATCCGGTAGGTTTCTTCAGGCTTAGAAAGCTACAAAACTCATTTGTCGGCTTTCCTCAAGCACAGAAAGCATTTCAACAAACGTCATCCGGTGGATTCCTTCAAGCATAGGAAAATACCAAACTCATTTGTCACTGATACACTGGTGTCAGATAAGAGTTCAATCCCTTTACTCTTTTATCTGTAGAACTAACATTTTTCTGCAGGTATCGGCGTATACAGAGTGATTAAGGATCGCAGAACGTCTTAAATCATTCTCCGTCCCTATCGACCACTTTGACTATTGTTTTCGAAACTGACGTTTCTAAAAACTCAGTCCAATTGGGGGCTTCTGTAGACACCTAAAAATGTCTCCCCAAAACAAAACTCGATGATGAACAACCTTTCACCACCATTATTGGTCGGGTTTAGTATTTAATCTTTGGAGTGCTTAAATCCATATTCAAATCCATATTTTCAATTCATAAACCAACCCAATTCCTAGCCCATTTCCCCAAAATATATCTTATTTTCCTCTTTTCGTGCCTTTAAACCCAAAATAATTCATTTCGTGTCCTTTAAAATCATTCATTTCGTGTCCTTTTTATAAAAACGTTTAACCCAGTTTATTTTGGTCCATAATCTGGGTCCAATGATTAAATATTTGGATGGGGCTTTAAAAGATCTTTCCAACAATATATTATAAGCTCAAATCCGAGTTATAACGAATAAGTTATGTCCAAAATATTAAGCTGAGCCCAAACCGAACCTAAACCCACCTTCCATACGACCCAATGATCATGTGGAGGGTCCAAATTATTTAATCCCATTCCTAAACCAATTAGGATTAATTAGAAGCTTATATAAGTTTCTAAAAGATCTTAATAATCCTTTTTGAAAAGATAAGATTAAAGAATTTGAAATTGAATAAAACTTTTCTTTTTGAAAGCCCTAATTTTATTCGAATTGAAAGACGTTCAAAGACAGGCATATATTATTTTTGTGGCACATATTTATTATCCAAATTTTATATGGTTGTATAGCACTTGAAATTATCTTTCCAATGATATATTATAATATCAATTCCGAGCTATAACGGAGAAGATATGAATAAAATGTCAAACTCTATCCAAAATTGACACTGTCTCACTATTTCGGCCATCTCTTTTATTCTATAAAATATTTTAATCTGATTCTAATTGTATTAGAAAGTAGACTTCAAGATCTTTCCAACGATATTTTATTCATCTTATTTCAATTTTTGAATCAAAAGATATGATAAAAACAAAAAACGCAAAAACTGCTGTCTATCGAGTTTTATTCCGATTTAATTCGGATCTTATCTTGTTTTTTTCGACCTCTTTGTTTTTTCTCTATAAATAGAGGTCATATCACCCCTTTTCCAATCATCAACAAGCTTGATCATCAAATAATTCTTTTCTCCCTCTTTAGCCTAAACACTAGCATCCCATTCTTTCACTATTTCTTCCTTTAAGCGCTCCAAGGAGTCCATACAATATCCGAAGTTCTATACTTAAACAAAGGCGTGAAATTTATAATTAACTGAGGGTTTGGACCAAATTAAATATACATTTATTTAATTTAATTGTTTCAATTTGATTTATTTTTTTATTAAAGTTACTAACAGTTTATTCATGATGTAGCAATTTAAAGGAACGCGCAGAATGCGAGTAATTAATTAATTTAATTACTTTTATTTTTATTCTTGTTGCTAGTATCATGATTAGATTATTATTATTATTATTTGATTTGACTAACGCTATTATTGTTGAATTGCTTCCAATATTAACGTTTATTCTATTATTGTTATGATCACCATATTGCATGTTTAAAGGGAATATGTAATTGAAAATCACGCCTAATAAGATAATTTGGACAACCGGTTTAGGATCCTTTTTAATCTTGTTGTTTAATTCAAGTGATCACAAATATTTTATAATTATATGTTGCATTAATATTAAACCAATTTAGCATAATAATAGTTTGGAGCAAATTGAATATTTTGTTTGTATGTCTTTGAGATCGCAGGAATCACTTTTCACTATAAGAATCGAGTAGAGGCCAATACGGGCGAATGACTCCATGACTCACTTTGTAATCTCATGGTTCCGAACCATATGGAGTTAGTAATCTCATGGATTATGGATGGGGTGTAACCTTCACGGGTCAATCGTTGTTGCCTATCGTTGTCCCTTATTCGTGGTTGCCTTTTTATGATCCGTGAACGGTTTACAAGTTCCTTAAAAACTTGTTGGCGACTCCCTACTTTCCTTGTCCCTAATCGTAATGTCAATTCCCACTTCCTATGAGTTCTAAGCATATTCACCACATGCTTTTAACGTAGGCGCACTTCGATCGACGCCTACAAATATGCTTGATTTTTTTCATGCAATTGTGAATGTTGTCGTTCACTTATTGCATAGGTTTAGGTATAACTACTTTTCTAATCTTAGCACCTTCATTACTGATCACTTTCATAATAAGATGATAAATTTGAGAGTGTCATGGATTATATGTGATTTAGGATTTATTGTCTAAGTGATGGCTCCCACTCATTTTCATGATTGAGACTTTCAACTTGACAACCTACAACCATTAACGTTCAGTAACGAACTTTCCATAGAACATCTTGTTTATTACCGCCATTAAGGCAACAATGTTCTCAACATATATTTTAGTAAACTTCCTGATGATTCTTTTCTTGGGTTTCACACCAAACGGCTCACAATGATTTGGGATACCCTAATCACTTATGGTCATGGAAATTTTCCTTCAATTCTTGCACATTACACATGGATGCACGTCCATGTTACCATTCTCAAGCCACGACTCATTTTAAGCTGGTAAACAGCTTCCTTGTTAAGGATCTAATCATTGTTAAGGTTTGTGCTTGCAACATCAATTCTCAAATTTTATTAGTTTCCATAAGTCAAGAACACATCCTATTACTTATCCAAGTACTTGGATGTTCTTTGCCATAATCTAACGATCTATTACATAGATTCAGGTTGATTGGTACTACATACATACTTCACATGATCTAAGCAAGCAAGTCGTGTGACGATTCCATATCACAACGTACATTATGGATTAAATTGAAGAGTAATTCTCAATCTTATTCCATCCATGTGACATTTTAGCTCATTCAGTTTCACTGATTATTGCTAAACTGTTTGATGTGTGATATGGTTGAAAGTCTTTATTAGAGTCTTTCATGTTTGACTTAGTATTTAGCCTAGCTTATACTTAGTTCAAACATTTACTTATTTTTATACATACGAGTCGAAAGTCTTTCAAAGTCCTTCAATTCATGGTTAACACAGTAAAATCCTTTACACGTTCAAACATTTTATTAAGTCTACACAATAGATCTTAATACCAATACGTACTAAGTATCGTCTTTTCTTGATCCATTGTCGAAAATACTTTCAAATCTAAGCATTTAGCATTTGATAGTTATTTCACAATAGAGTTCATAAACTTTTCGTTGGACCTTTATATAATTTACTTTTCCTCCTACTAAACTTCTTATTCATAAGAAATTTTATGTTTCTCCATAAGTTAATCCTCTTATTAACTTCATGAGAAAACATGTTCCAATTCCTATATGCAATGCTTCCACTAATCCCATGACGGATTCCTTGAGCTTGCTTTTAAATCTAGCATTCATTTAGATTTTCAAAACCCTTAGACTATTTTCACAGTCACTTCCAAAATCCTATTTTAGGAAGGCGGATTTGGTATCTATTTTGCCATATTTCATATCCGCAATTTTTCTAAAACAATCACGAAAAGACATTAGCATTCCGATTGGTGAATAGGTTTTTATTAAAATCAACTCCGTGAATTTAATTGTATTCTTTTCAACCAATCTAGCTATGTATGCATATACATTTCCACATTTGTTATTTTTCTCCCTGAAAACTTATTTGCAATTGATGGGTCTTTCACCCTTTATGCAAATTAATCAAGTTTCAAACATGATTTTAAACATGGAGTCTATCTCAGATTTTTATGGCCTCTAACCATTATTCGGAATTTGGATTTGTCGTAGCTATCTTACAAGACATTATTCCTTTACTATCTAATAGTAAATAGTATGCTTGTAACTCTTAGGTTTATTTCTAACTTAATAGAAAATTTATAGGATTCAACCCAAGCCTTTGGTGAATTCTATACCTATACGGGGTTATTGCATCAAACACTGAGTTTCAAGGCTCCTCCGAAGCCCTTTGATTTTCTTGATCTTACTCCAACTTTTCAAAAGTTTTTCAAGAAATGAATTCTCTTTCACTAGAAGAAAATTGGGCTCAAGTAACACCCATCGGTAACACTTAAAAAAATTTAGGATTATTTGATTTTTATGTAACACTTTTGTAACATTGTCGTATTAAGTAACATTTTTTGTAACACTTTAGTATTATGTAACACTTTATGGTAACACTTTGATATTAGGTATCACTTAGTTGCAACACTTAATTTGATGTTACTCGAATCCTTTTTTTTCTAATTAAATATTTATTTTCTTCTAATCTCATTGCAGAAAAAATTGATCGGTGCCTTTTATTTTAATTTTTTTATTTTTCATTCTAGTCTATCCCCTCCTCTCATTCTTGTTCAAATATCTATTCTCTCTGAATTAGTTTATATTCTTTAATCCATCGAGTCACCCTCATTACTATCCTCTGAATCATCATCATCATCATCAGTACCATCATCTAAATCACAATCAACATCATCAAATGAATCGAGAGTGAAGGAATCACAACATATGGTACTACTATGGTGTTCATTACTTAATGATTACATTAAGGTTTATGTTCATCTGCATAATTTCTCTCACCTATACGTTCGGCTTCTTCGCTTTACTCTTCTCCAGTCTTTCAATTCCTCCTATTTCTGTTCCTTCTCAATGAAAAATCGTTTCCACCAGTAACTTTCGCTTCCCTCCTTCTTCTTTTTTTCTCTAATTTAGGGTTTTCATGATGTTTTTTTTAGTGATTTTAGCATTAATTTGTGTATGAGTGTGTACAATTCTTCCTCAATTTTCTTAAATTAGGTTATCTTTTAGTTGCTAGTTATTTGCTAAAATATGAAGTTTTAGTGATTTTAGCATGATGTAGTCAGTTAATTATGTGTATAATTCATTCTCATGTTTACAATTTCTGTAATATAGATGTATACTACTAGTTAGAATTTGGATTGATGGTGAAATTGCTGAAATTGGTTTAACTATGTTTTTTGAAATTACGATATTGGGATTTTAGATGTTGTGGAGTTTCAAATTAGCTTGATTTTTCAATTGGGGTGGTGTTGGTGCTTATGGGAAGTTAAGGCCATATTCTATTCACATATTAAGTTAACTAAGTTCATTTCAATTAAGGCCGATAAGTTCGGATACATAAGTTCAATTGAGGACATATACGAGTAGAGAAGTTAATTAATGGACAAGTTTATTCCGGAAAGGACCAATTCAGGACTAACTAGTTAATATAAGCTCAATAATTTTCTGTTAAAAAAAATATAGGTTGAGTAACTTTTGCATTACTGAAAATCTAATTGGAAGGGTTTAGGAAAATACTTGGTTGTGACAATTATTACTGATGCATTTTGAACCTTGATTGCGTATAAATTAGACATTTAAAGATGCGTGCGATTGGAATGGGAGTTTTAATTTATATAACGGTTTAGGTGCCTACTACTATGAAGTAATTGACAATAATATATGATTTTTTTTAGTCATTGCTTATATATTGCTGCTTGTTTGCATATCAAGACTGATAACTAGTTGAAACATTGGTTATATAGTGTTAGTCAAAAGAAACTCTAATGATGACAAAATATATAAACCATTCCATTTGAAAGGTCCATAGTACCTATTCATTAGTTGATTAAATTGCATAAAGGTGTCCAGCAACTTGTCATTAACCTAGCTATTGTTTAAAAAGCTTATGAAAGTCATACTTATTTTAGGTACTACAAGAATTTAAGATACTCTGTGAGTAAAATAGTATATCTAATTAAGATCATATTATATATACTATTTGTTTTTTTTTTAAAATCTTACATTAATTTAATTTCTTATCTTATTTTGTAGAATTCAGAGTATTATTGCTTGTATTTTGTCTATGTTTGGCCATTTATAGATATGAGCAAGTCACTTGTGCATATTTTCTTAAACAACTTATTATACAAAGTAGCTTATTCCATGATTGTGCATTAAATTGGGTTTTAAAGGAAATCCATTTATGGTGATTGTCGAATTAACTTTACTTAATTGAATCAAAACAATATGATTGTAGTAGTATTCTTGGGAGTGAATTCAACAAAAGTGAATTTATCTTTGTGCACTTTAAATACTGTTTCTCATATTACAGTGACAGTATATAAAAACCAATCAAATTAAGTTTTCTTAAAGAGTACTTCGTATTATATAAAAAAAAAAATCCTTGGGAGGAGGAATTAGGAAACTGCTATGGGAAGCCATGCTTTCAGCCTTTTACAATGTCCACGGTCAAGTTAGAGTGGGGTCAAGATTTTCAAATCTAGCTACTCTCTTTTGCTGACTTCTGTCTCCAATTCTCCATTAATAGAGTTAGGGACTTAGGGGCAGGGCTTCGTACATCTATTTCAGACCGTCTCCAACAAGAAGCTACAATATAGATGTAACTTTCATTCCTGTTGTATGGGAAGCCTTTTATTGTGTGGGATTTTTTCTTTTTTTTCCTCTCTAAATTGCATTGTAGTCATAGAATAATTTTCTTTTAATTTAAATTACCTAGAGTAAGTATCTCTTTTTATATGTGAACATGATCTACGTTGTACTTTTTTAATGAAAACAATGATGCAAAGAAGGGAGGAAATGTACCAGAAGCACAAGTGTCTCATCATAAAGACAGGAAGGGACATCCAAACCATTAACGAATAAAACTAGCAAAGCTGAAAGGCGCACTTTACAAGAGGTCACAAAGGTGCCAAATCTACATAAAAGGTTCAGACTTTGTCATTCATGTGTGTGTGTGTGTGTGTGTGTGAGTTTGGGAAGGGGTTAGTCATTAGTTTGAATTGCTGTCAACTATCACGCTTAATGCAAATGTATGGATATACTATCAACAATTTGAAGAGCAACGAACAAACACAAAGTTTGATTGATTAGAGAATTAACGTAAGAGTGACTAACCTATGCAGTGTGGAGACCTGGTGTTAGACCACCTATTCTAAAGTTTCATTTTCGTATCCAGGTTCCCTTCCCCTAATGCTAAAATAGGTCCAAGGATAAGATTAGGATACCTATATATTTTCCTAGACTTCCTGGTTTTCGGGGTAAGTTAATGCTTTCATTCTTTATTGTTTTCTTATGTGATTTTTACAAACTATCATTGTAGTGTTTTATTTTTCTATTTGAACTTGTGCTATTTTTTTTTGTAAGTTAGTGGTTAAATTTAGTTTTATGCGATAGAGCACCTATTTTGCAAGTTGATTTGATTTGAGGTTTGATATTATAGTGGCAGTTGAATACCCATGAGTTGTTGAATGTTCAGAGGGTCATTCTTATTTTCATTAGGACCCAAATTACAATTAGCTAACTATTGCAATACCCTTTCTACTAAGAATTCTAAATTAATCTAGACTTTGTTTTTTGTGCAATCAGGTGCTGAGGTTCTCTTTTTGTCCTCAAGGTACTCGAATTTTCAGTCAGGTGCTCTTTCTTTGTTCCTGTCTCTATCATTTTTTCTTTTTTGGCTAATATTGAAATCAATGTAGAAAATACAATAATGCCTTGGAATCTTAGGGTGGTTGGCTTTTATGTCCTAGTTTTGAATCTTATTTGTACCCTTTCTACTATGATTCTACCATGATAATTCTGTTTTAATATCTATTATGCAAATTTTCATGTAAAAATCTGCCTATTGTGTATATAACTCAAGACTCTCAGCCTATTTCCCACCACTGTCACCATTTCTTCCCCTCTCAACATTCAGTCTTCTATATTGAGCTACAAGAATAATGGAATTCAGAACTGAAATCAGAACTGAATTCATAGATGAATTTTAGAACTAAAATCCAAACCTAAAATCAGATATAAGATTTAGAACTGAATTCAGAGCTGAATTTCAGAACTAAAATCAAAGCTGGAATTCAGAACTAAATTTAGAGTTGAATTTAGAGTTGAAATTCAAAACTTAATTCAAAACTAAATCAGTGCTGAAATTCAAAACTAAAATCAAAGCTGAAATTCAGACATGAAATCAGAGTTTAAATTCATGACTGAATTCAGAGCTGAATTCGGAACTGAAATCTGCAAAGGGGAGTTTGTGTGTCGTATCAGCTTAATTTATTATATGTGTAGTGAGAATAATGATATCTTTTACTTAGATGCATATATTAAATACTCTGATAGGTGTCTGACACTACAAAAACCTGTTTATCATCAATGATGTCCGCGGACTAACTATCTTGTATGTTCTTTGTAAGAAGCAAGATCAAGATGGTAGATTATGAGAAATCTAGACAAACAAGGATAGTACAAAATAGAAGCAACCGGTGATATGTTCACTAAAGGGAAAGAGCAACAAACCAACAATTCTCGATGAGTTCTTAAATCCATATAAAGACTAAATTGTGAAAGAAGCTGTAGCAGAATTAATGAAGAAACTCAAGCAAATTGATCCGGAAGTGTTGGATACTTTGACTCTATTACTTGAAAATGCGTCATCCAATCTAGAACTTACAGATCAAATTCCCATTGTACACTATTGAATAACAACGAAACGAGGTAATGGTTAATATATAATCTTTTAAAAAGCAATAACTCTTATTATTGTGTTATTTTATTTTTGCTTTAGTTGTTTGATATATGATGCTTTCACACATAGGATCAATTGGATCAAGATGAAGAATTGGGATAGCAATTTATGATGCTACAAGAACTTACTTTTACCGATGTTTTGTTGCTGCTACCACTATTTTGCTGTTGTTTTTAGCTATTTTGCTGTTGTTTTTAGCTATTTTGCTGTTGTCTTTTGCTGACACTACTGCTACTATTGTCTGATCTGTTGCTGACTCTTGCTCATTTGGTTTGCTGGCATTGCTATGCTACTGCTAGTTGCTGCCAACTGATGTTTGCTACTGCTAGAAGCTTCCACTACTATCTTCTATTGTTGGTTGCTGCTAAAGACTACTGATGGCAGCATCTATTACTGCTTCTTCCGTTCTACTAGCTAGTTGTCTAGCTACTGTTTTACTCTATTATTATTAATGCTCTTTACTGTAATTGGTGTCTTTTTTTGAAATTTGGAAGATTTTTGTTTTTCCTTACTATTTCCAAGATAGATATCGAATGTTAATATTCTTTGTGTTTGGATTATTATATTTTTTGGCCAAAAACATTAAAATTGGTGTTTATAGATTTTTTTCGTGAGAATTATGAAAAAATTTCAATCCAAGCTGTTTTCTATCATATGTGTTGATTTCTTATTCATATAGTTGTTGTACATATGATTTTTTTTTCTTATATTTGTTGGAGGGAACGACGAGGCCCTCAGACCTGCTGATGTGTTACTTTATTCTTGGGATCGTGGTCGCTATGTCTGTGTAGATTTGACAGGATCTTCTCCTTTGACACAGTCAAGGCTATCTGACTTTATTCCTGGACGGGTTGTGGCTGATGCAGCTCATCGGATGCGGGTTAAGTATGAGACTCGTTGTCAAGCTATTGGATATGGGTTCATTCCTTTCTCCTTTTCTTCGTTTGGTGAATTAGAGAAGGAGGTTGTTGCGTTGCTTAAGCGAATTCAGAGGTTCTCGAAGACGCAAGGCATTGGAACACCTGCTGCGGCTCATATTGTTACTAGGGTAGGCTTTGCTATAGCTAGAGGAGTGAGGGCCCAGATTGTATCTCAGCTTCCCACTAATTTATTGTAGGTTGTATGACTTTTTGTTTTTGAGATGATAATGATAATAATAATAATAATAATAATAATAGTAATAATAATAATAATAATAATAATAATAATAATAATAATAATAATAATAATAATAATAATAATAATAATAATAATAATAATAAGAATAACAATAAGAATAACAATAACAATAACAATAATAATATTAAATGTTACCTATTAATCTATAAAGTGTTACATTACTTTGTAACAAGTGATACATAATGTCGAATAAAGTGCTACTATATGTCAAAACATGATTGAAAAATGTTACCTAATAATTAACAAAGTGTAACATTAGTTTAAAAAAAAGTGATAAATAATGTCGGATAAAGTGATACTATATGATTGAAAAATGTTACTAAAGATAAGTAAGTGTTACATAAGAAATTAAAATAAAAAACACTTTAAAAATGATACTAATAATGTAAAATGTGATACATAAAAGGGTTTATAATAACACTTTTAAAAGTGTTACCATACGCTACCCAAAGTGTTGCATAAGACTTTGGTAACATGCACAGATGTATCACCCAATAAAGTGTTGCTTATTTTCTATAATAACACTTTTACCACCTTGTGTAACACTTTTTGGGGTGTTACTTGAGGTTAGTTTTGTACTAGTGTTTTAAGGCACTTGTAAAGTCCTTTTGAGTATCTTGATCAAGTATTCTCACGAAGCCCTTTTAAGGTCTTCCGAGATTCTCAGTTTTAGTTTGTTGCTAAGCTCAATTGTCATCGAGTTCATTTTCCTCCCACTTGTCGTCTTGGAAATGTGTTACTTTCTAGAGAGACACCACTTAGAGAAACACACACAATGTTCTTAATCAGGTTGTGGAGGTAATGCCCGTGGTCTCACTTGAATGCTTACAAAGAGACACGTATATTGTCTTTGGATAAAAGTTCGTTGTAAAACAAACAGTTAGCTCCCACTTGAGCTATCTTAGCCTTTAATGAGCTATTAAGCTCCCACTCAACCACCTAGCTCTTGTTAAGGCAGTGAGCTCCAACTGGGTCACTTAGCTCCCGCTAAGCTAGTGAACTCCCACTGTGGCTAAGAGTATTAGACATATACTTGATAAGACATTTAGAAGATAATTCTATCCATAACTGAATATGGCGTCCTTTCTTAGCTTTAAGATTTTGTTTAGTGTAACATTAGTTCCTCGTGCAAATCTTAAGAACTTTATAGGAAGGGATGTGATCCATCATTGTTCGAGTAATTTTTAAATGGCATCGAGATCTCCGTGAAGACACACTATGTTCTTTGTGGAGTTATTTATGAAAATTTCAACTTCATAACTTTGTGATGGTCACGCTTGGCTCAAGAAAATATCGCTCTATCTAATCTAGACATTTTGATATCTTGCCAAGTCGATTCTATACTTCACTGAACTCTTGACCTATTCAAGGTCAAGTTTGTTCACTTTTGATGAATATAGCCATATTCTTTCAAATTCTTTGTTAAACGTTGAAGTAAATGAATCCTCTTTAGCTTTCGGAGTCAATTGTCTATACCAAGAACAATAGCTCTTTACTTTGTCAGTTTCAACAAGTAAGACTTGATTGTCTTAGAACGATTCCGAATCGAATTCAACTGTCAAGAGCCTATCTAATAGAGCCTTGAGTGCGTTCTTGTCGATGAGACATTGCTAAAGATGTTTGGAACGCAAATCATGCCCATGAATTTAAGCTTTTGCCAGTTTATCATGTTAAGAAAATGTTTGTTTATAATCAAGCATTCTTGACTCATGGTTTAGACAACTATGCCATTCAAATAAATTTGCAACTATTGCTCATTGCTTTGAATGTGAGTCTTTCCGTGTGTAAACGGATCAATTGCTGATTATGGAACACAATAACCATTTATTTGTTCCAACCTTAGCTTAAAGGTCTTTAAACAAAGCATACAACCTTACAACTGATGTAGCACCACTTGCTTCATTCTAAGCTTGTAAGTCGATAACTTGCTTATCTTCAATAGTTTGAGTCACTTTCAAAGTGGAACACTCAAGCAATATTCGATACTTTGTGAAGATAATGAGTTGCTAAGTTAACTTCAATAACATGAATTCTTTAGTAAAATGGAATCTCATTCCTTTTCTATGTTCCTCGTTTCCTATATTTCCTATCATACTTTATCTCATAATCTTAAAGAACCATTTCTTTAAGAGTGTTTGACTTTTATACTTTGTTAGGCATAATTAAGCATCTAATGCACTGTAAAACAAAGTTCCAACTTTTCTTTTAATTCACGCTCGAATTACTATATCAATTAGTCCTACTCATCTATGTATTAAGCAAAAATATATGTTGGTTGTCAATATTGACAATTTGAGTTTGCAACTCAATACTTCATGTTTTATCAAAACTACCTAGTATTTTGAATACATGATGTCCAATCGTCCTTAAAATTCATTTATGAGAATTGTATTTTAGAAAAGCTTTACTTTTCTTTGAGAACCATTTTCAAAGATTTCCTTTACCAATCATGGAAAACAATATAGTTTGATTTGGAATTCTACAAATATAAGTGCCAAGTTGATGAGTGTCATTTATGGCACTCATAGGGTAGTCTTTTAGGGTTATTTCTTTCCCCTTTTCATGCTTTCTTCTCTTATTTTTGGTCCTTTTTCCTTTAGTTTCTCTTTTTCCTCTTTCCTTTATGATTCTCGTGTTTTTATCGTGTTTTCCTTTATTTTTCTCTTTTTCCCTTTTATTTCCTTTCTTTGTGTACTTGGGTAGGTTTTGTGAGAATCACTTTGGCAAAGGATTCAATTTGGGACTTTAATGATCAAGCAAGGAAGAAGCATTTGGCTAGAGAGGGCTTAGAGAGGGCTTGGAGAGGCCTCAGAGAGGTTTTCAAGGCAAATCCAGCAGGCCGCGGGCAGGGTTATCTTGCCGCGGGCACGGGCCCACGTTACTCAAAATTGCCAAAACTTGGCAAGAACTTGTCGCGGTTGCCCCGCGAGCTCTCCGCGGGCGCGAGTAAAATGGAGAGGCCGCTCCATTCAGAGAGACCGCGACCCCCTGATCAGGCTTTGGGAGCAGGGGATTAGCCGCGGGCGCGGGTTTCACTACCGCGGGCGAGGATCTCTGTTGCCGCGGGCGCGGGGTCTGCCCAGATAGCCCGCGGAGGGTTCTGTACCCATTTTTCCGCGGGCGCGGGTCTATCGAGATAGGGCGCGAGAGCTGACAATTTATTCTTTGCTTATAAATAGAATTGTATTTCCTTTTTGAAGGGGGACTTTTGATAATTTTCATTAGCTTAGTTTTAGAGAGAGAATCTAGAGAGAAGTTAGAGAGAAGTTCTTGGTTTTGGATTTGTAACTCAACATTTGATCAATCAAGTTTGGATTTCTTCATTTTCAATCATCAATATTAGTGAGAATCTCTTCCTTCTTTCATCTTTTACTTACTTGCTATTTGATTTTTTCTTGTTACTTGTTCTTCTTTGGATTTGAATTTGATATTGTTGATTATTTTTTATTTCTCTTAGATTTTGATATAGAAATGAAGATTAAAGCACTTTCTAGTTATTTGTTCTTGAATTTCACCATGATTAGTGAGTAGATTAGTTGCTAGGGAAAGGGGGAAGCATGTTTGATTAATGAAATTTCTAGTTGATGCTCTTTGATTGATTGATTTCTTGCAATTAAATTGGTTGACATAGTTTTGCATGTGATTGATTAGACTAGGAGTGATCAACCTATAAGATTAATCTAGATTGCATTGCAACTCTTAATGACATGAACAATCAAATTGAAAGTTGCTCTAATTGATTGGGTTTGCTTGTGATTCTTCTTGATTTGCCTTTCATAGTGACACCTAGATTGGCCTATAGGAGATAGCATTTAAACTCTATTGATTGCTACTATTGTTTGTCCATTGCAACACTTTAATTAATTGATTGAGTTCTAAACTAACATTATCATTGAACTTGCATGTGGAACCCATATCCCTAGTGTTTAGAACTTTGTTTTACTTGATTAGACTTGCTTTATTTTACCATAGTGCCAACCATAATATCAACTCCATCTTCGAGGTAGCTTGACTTAGATTCTAGTTTTCATCATTGCATTCCCTAGGGATCGACCCTTAACTTACCCTATATTCATATAAGGTTGGTTAGGTGTTTACAAATTTTGTTTGACTTGGGGAAAGGGTAGATAACGACATACATTTTCCCCCTCGTCAAAATGGCGCCATTGCCGGGGAGTGCTATTGGTGCTTAGCTTTTGTTGTTGAGTCTACTTCATTTTAATTGAAAAAAAAAATATATACAAAAAGATTTTGTTTCTTTAGGCTACACTTGAAGCCGTGCTACTAATATTTTCTTTGAAGTTTTGCATGCATAGAGCTCGTGATCGATCCATTGTGCCTTTTGACCCGGTAATTGAGAGGACTCTCTCAAGAAGAAGAATAGATAATTGATTCTCCTTGGGGTATAGTTCTTCAAGTGAAGAAGAGATTGAAGAAGAGCAAGGCATGGGAGAAAATCCGAGAGTGGCCTTGAAGGAGCTAGGAATACCCGGTGCTTATAGGTTTGAGAGCGGCATAGCTCCGCCTACAACACCGGCAAATGATTTCGAGATTCGGCCGGCCATGATCACCTTAATTGAGAGGAGGCAATATAGTGGGGCTAAGAATCAGAGCCCGTTGAACCATCTTACAGAA